ATTGGTTGGAGTTGGATTTGAAAAATGGGTGGGGAGTAAAAAGAGTTCCTCCTTACTTAATTTATATTAAAAATTAATGGATAACGAAATGCGATTTTTAATGGGTATTAATTTTTGATATCGAAAAACTGAAGGAGTCAAACAAAAATTATACAAAAATCGGCCCTTTACGCAAATAAGGGTCGAATCGTTTTTTCCTTCATTTTTTCCTTTGGTTTATTTTCCTTAGTAGTTGATGTGTGTTGATGTTTGCACAGGGAAAAATGAAGAGAACTCCTTACCTATGGTCTACGTGGATGTTTTTGCTGCTGCAGAGGAAGGCATGTATGTCCATCGTGTGATGATAGGAATAGGTTTATGTTACTAGTGCAGACCCCAGCGACCTTTGACTCCCCGCGAGACGCGTGCTGCAAAACCCCGCGCGAAGCGTGGGGTTTTGCACAAGCGTCTCGCCGACTTGCCGTAGGTGTACGTTGTTTATTGTTGTATAAAAACGAAAAAAAAATACTTGAACTGAGCAAGGAGAACCTTACCATTATATACAAATTAAGGAAAACTATGGAAAGGAAAAAATGAAGGAAAAAACGATTCGACCCTTATTTGCGTACACGGTCCAAAAATCTCAATTTTGGCGAATGTTGTTCAAACAATATTGTTTTTCCTATTTTGTAAGGATGTCGACGCCCCGGTAGTTAAGTGGTGGAAAACCTGTAAGTGTTGAGTGAGCTGAGCTGCGCCAAAGCTGATATTTTTTCCCTTCCCATTTTAAGTTAGCCAAAAGGAGAAATATTTTGGCGGTGGTAATTTGACCTATTCCCGGTGTAATTATCGACCTTCTCGAATCAAATACATAAATATTTACATATTACCCAAAAGTGTCCGTATTATTCAAAGTATGTATTGCTACTTCAGTCATTTTTTCTTTTGTAGTTAATAACGAGTAATCCACTCCATATGGTAAAAATCTTGAATTGTTCAAAAATAAAAAATATTTCTGATAAGTCATTGTTTCACTCATATTTTTTAAACCAATTTCAATTTTTTTGATTTGTAATTTTTTATCAAATTTTTCATTATAATAGTTAATAATCTTTAATAAAATAAAATTTATTTTTAAATATAAATTTAAAAATAAACCTTTAATTTTTCTGATGTTATTTTGAACGATTCTAATTCAAAAATCTTTGGAGCGTCTGGAATTAGAGAAATTTCCTTGTTTCCACGTTCAATAATATTTTTATGTAAATTGTTTGTTGGCCCATCTAATTTTAATTCTTCATCAATTTTAATTCGATTAAATGTCCGAATTAAAAGGGACAATTCAATAAGAGAAAAATTATTTTCATCAAAGGAGGTTGCTGGGGTTGATGAACGTTCACCCATTTTTTCCTTTCCTTTTCGTCTAGCATGACCACGAGCTTTAATTTAGATTTTAATTAGTTTCTATATTCGTTTAACGTATTTTTGAGAGGATCAACTTAAAAACCCCTAGCCCGCACAGGTTCAATTTTAATCAAATTTTATAATTATATTCTGGCTTTTAAAGAATTTTTGTATTTAATTGACCGTCGATTATCCAACAGTATGTAATTATCACTCTGATATAGTCGTGATATTTTATCGCTAAAACCTTTGTTCGGTCACAAAAAATGGCTTTAGTCCGCGTTTGCTATAATAATATTTTGGGTTTTGTTAGAATTATTCATCACAATATTGAATATATTGTAAAGCATATAGTTATTTAATTTCTAAGGCAATGCTAAGGCAATGCTAATATTCATAAAATAATAGTGCATGGCGCAGAAACGGATCCTACCGGATTTTTACGGAATACGTTTCCAACCCCGAAAGTAGGCTGTTATTGAATGTAAATTGAAGTCCGCCTAAGAGAAAATCTATTGCAATCAAATTCTAAGAAATTTAATTTTAAAAAACTTACCTATATCCATTCCATCCGTAAAATGTATTTGAAATTGGTTTATGACAAAATAAAATAACAAAAACAAAAGGAATTTTTTCATTTTTTGAAAACTTTATGGCTTTCTGTAGAAAAGAAATTAAAGAAAAACTTTGAAATATAATTAAAATACATATGTATTACATTAAGAAATAGCTAATAAATACATGAAAAATAGCTACTGTGCTCATAAATAGATACAGTGTTTATTACCCTTCTCAACGGTATACTGTAAAAGTAATTAAGAGGAAACGGATTTTCAGTTGCCACTATATGTATGAGATGGGCCTACCCACGATTATGAACGAAACAATGGTTTCGTCATAAAATGATTCCATACTTCAGAAGTTTTTACTTTAATATTTTATTCTTTAATTTTCAAATTAAAAAAATCGGAAACTATATTTGTTCAATTATAATAAATTTAAGAAAGAAAATAGTTGATCCTTATTGTTTACGGATTCGAACCCAGGACGAATATAGCTGAATACGGTGTTTTAAACTTACGCTATTCAATTAATCAGACATTCATTTGAAAGAATAGAAAAAATGTATTAAAACTATCGCTTCTTTTTTAACCCCTCAATTTTTCTATTTTGATAAACAAACTCTTTTCTCAACCCGACACATCCCTGCTTTTAGTGAATGTAAATTGAAGTCTGACTAATGGGTATTAAGTACTGCTTTTCGCCGGTATTAAATACAGCTTTTCGAATACTATAAGAGGCGTATTTAAAAATATGCTCGCGTTTTGTAAATCATGTGTATTTTAAAAATGGAGAAATTTATAAAAAATTTATCGTTTTTTTGCCTTGACAAGAGTGTAACTCGACAGAATTTCGAAAGATTGTGATAAAGTTATCCACTATAAATTAAAGTTGTCGAACAGCCTTTCCTTTTTATTAAATTCTAACACAAGTTTAACTACAATACCACTGTCCAACTAAAATACCTTCAGAAGGTAAAATACCTTCAGAACCTTCACATAAAATAGGCGACACGTTACGAATGGAAATCATAAAGCGACTGTCGTTTATTTTATTTAAACACAAGATATCAACATCTGTCGCCGGAAACTGTCGAAAGATAATTTTTTAAATATGCTGTTAGAATTTTTTAAGAATTTATTTAAAATATAATTATTCAATAAAGCAGCAGACTCAATATTTATTTAAATGTATATTTGTTAAATTGGCTGTCGTTAAGCATATGATAATTTTCAAATACATGTAAATAAATACAGCACTGATTTTATATCCACATTTTATTGAATAATTATTTCTTAATTTTCATTAATCAAAGATGAAAATTTTAAAAAGTATGCCGCCAGTTTCTTCACTTTCCTATCAAAAGTCCATTCTTTATGATACCGCCGTTCAATTAGACAATACGTAAACATCGGATAAAAGAGCAGATAAATAAATTCAAACAAATTACCCCATGAATTGTCATAATTTTCCGATGAGTACTCAATGGAGATTTTTCTCGAGGATGGGGCAAAGTGTTTTTTGAAGCAAATAACGAAACTTGCTGACACTATAAATATTATAAAATGCTATTAGTTCTATAAGGCGGCATTTAATTCTCTATAATTTTCTACTAAATTTTCTGCTAGGTTGTATTACTATTCTACCGTATTTCCCTAATTGAATGCCCGGGCATTCTATTAATCACCTTCCAAGAGGAGTAACGTATTGTCTAACTGAACGGCATTATCCAATAGAACGGCCTTTTGGGAGGAAAGTGAAGAATCATGCGGCATACATTTTAAAATTTCCATCTTTGATTAATGAAAAATTAAGAAATAATTATTCAATAAAATGTGGATATAAAATCAACGCTGTATTTATTTACATGTATTTGAAAATTATTATATACTTATGGACAGCCAATTTAACAAATATACATTTAAATAAATATTGATTCTACTGCTTTATTGAATAATTATATTTTCAATAAATTTTTTGAAAATTCTAACAGCATATTTAAAAAATTATCTTGCGACAGTTTCGGCGGCAGATATTGATATTGTGTTTAAATAAAATAAACGACAGTCGATTTGCGATTTTTTTTCTTGGCGTAAGTCGCCGATTTTTAGTAGCTAAGTTGTTTATGTAGCTAAGTATAACGACAATAATACAATTTTGCTTGGACTGAAGGTATTTCAGTTGGACAGTGTATAATTGTTAAATTTGCTGTTAGAATTTAATAAAAATGAAAGGCTGTTCAACAACTTTAATTTATAGTGGATAACTTTATCAAAATCTTTCGCAATTCTGTCGAGTTACACTCTTATGAAGGCAAAAAAACGATAAATTTTTTATAAATTTCTTCATTTTTAAAATACACATGATTTACAAAACGCGAGCATATTTTTAAACACGCCTCTTAAAGTACATATTTGAAAGCTGTATTTAATACCGGCACTATACACCCATTTTCACTCAGTAAAATTTACTAATTTCTTCCTCCCTACATAAAATATGTAAAATTTTCTCCTTTTTAAATTTGAATATCAAAAAAGAAATGAAGATTTTTCTTTATTTTTTTATTCTATTTGATAAACCTCCTTCAATGGCAAATTGTTGGAGGTATAAAAAGACAAAGCGACTGTTTGTTTTTAATTTAAAAAATATATGTAACAGTCATGCTTGTCGTGAAAACGAAGAAAAAATCATGTACTGAACAAATGTCATAATTAGATATTGGAGGATTTGATTGAAGAAAAAAGTTACATTCCACGGCTAGATTTTCTTCAGATTTCGCTTTCCACTCAATTCCGCATTTTACGGAGTTCCGTTTTCCAAAGATCCATCTTAAGCTTTTTACTTGTTAATTTTTAGTCTTGAGTCCTGGAGTCTAGTCTCAGTCTTGGGTCTTGGAAAATTTTCCGTCTCGGACAGCTGATAAATTTTTAAATATATAAATTTTTCTTTAATTTCTTTCTTACAGAAATAAAAAAATTTCAAAAATGAAACAATTCCTTTTCGTTTTATTATTTTATTTTGTCATAAACCAATGTCAAATACAATTGACGGTTGGGATGGAGCATGGTATGAAATTGATGGAAGGAAGTGCTTCCGAATCTGAACAAGGGGTTCAAGAGGTTGAGCAAAATTATGCAGAATTTGAGGCTGAAGTTGAAGAAATTCAAGGAGTTCCCAACTTTTCGCTTACGGAAATATATTCTCTTATTGTAATTTTGAACAATCTAACAGTTGGAATATTACAACAATATTCGAATTTTCGTTTAGAAATAATTATAGACAGCTATTGCAATCCTGAAGCTCTAGCTTGTAAAAAAATTAAAAAGGTTAATAAACACTTTATATTAAATATAGAAATTATTTTAAAAGGTTATTGGAGTGTATAATGACATTTTTTGCCAAGAAGGAGAATCAGAAAATGCGAGAAATCATTATCTTACCTTAGGTCTTTTTGTTTTTGCCCGAAAGTTCATCCGTTCATTCTTTAACCTTCATGGTACAAATAAATACTATGACAACTTGGTTGAGCGGTTTAATCCGTAGGTTTTATTATATGTATTTTCTTAATAATTTAAAACCTAATTTCGTTTTTTAATAGATCGATAAGTATTATTTTTAAAAATGCGAATTAACGGATTTTTTGATCTTTTGAAGATTATTGGGAGTTTTTAAACTTTCTTGCAGTTTAAAAAATAAAATGACATTTTTTCTCTTACGTCCTTCCAAAATATCAAAATTTGCAAAAAAGTGATCTCTCATAAAAAGTGATTTTTTAGCCGAAGGAGCATTTTCGGATTTTTGACCCCAAAATCGAACTTGCTCTCTTTTATGATTTTCCAAGTTTCGGATTTCTGTTTCTCGGTACACAGGCATTTTTCGGACCCTGAAAGTGGTACCATTAAATTCTGATAGCCGAGACGAATAATTTATTAATTGAATCGGTTTCGAACCAGACACCGGCTAAATTACACCCAAATAATTAAATTAAGTAAAAAGAAAGTTTCAATTTTGCAATATTTGACGGTCTATGACCTTTATGAGGCAAAGGCAAACGAATGGATAATCAAAATTAAAGAGTGTAATGCGGATCATGTGTCCCTTGAAAATTTAGAAACGTTAGATATTCTACCTACGTCACAGGTTTCAATAGAAAACGAAAATTATATTAACGAAGGGATTGTTGGCGAAAAAATTTTCACATACGATGGTAAAATATTTTATTTTTTAAAAGTTATAAAATTCAAAATTGAATTATAGTTAAATTAAAAAATAATCAATTTAATTAAGGTTGTAAGAAATAAGAAAATTTATAATTCTTTAAAAATTTCTGAAAATTCAAAAATCATAAAATAATTTTCTGCATATAAGTGTTTTTCAGAAAACCCAATAATTATTATTTTTTAGTTATAAACGAAGAAGTAAATTATGAAGATTGTAGAATGTTTAATAGAGCTTGCATGGTTCCAGGAGGAAAGAACTCATTTAGACCATTCTATTCCTACTTTTATGGTCTTAACGAAAATGTTAAACTAAAACTTGAACATCAACTTATAAATCCATTTTTGACTGAGAAAATATATGAGGAACACAGGAATAAAATGTTTGGATTTTACGTGGTCTTTAAAGGAGAAGTTAAATATAATCAATTTCTGCCACAGACACAGATTCAGATAACAGTTCATGTATGTTTTTATTATCAAAACTCTTGTGGAAAAAATAATTAACAATGCTAATAAAGTAAATCACAAATAATTAAATTGTCAATAAACTAAAAATGTTTATCTACACAATGGGATGCCGGTTTCGTGGGATGCCGGTTCTAAAACTTTTAATCTCAAAATGTTCTTCTTATCATCACAATCCCTCGAAAGCTTTTGCAAATTTATCTTATCCTTATCCACCATATCTTATCCACTATTATCACTCTTATATGCTTTATAATATTTTGATATCTCTCTGAATCTCAAATCCCTTTTCTGCGAAAATTTTGAGAATTTTAAAAGGCCAAGTAGCCAAATTTCTTCTTTGTAGCGCAGCAGGCGAAAATTTTTGAAGTTTCAGATGACCAATGGTCAAAAATCCTTCTTTTATAAGAATATATAAAAGAAAGTGTGGAAAAATTTCAGTAACGAAAAATCGGTACTACCGCGGTACTGGGAAGCCGATCGATACCGTACCAATACCAGTAGTACCGAAAAGTACCGAGTCGGTACTATCGGTAGTACCGAACTGTTCCGAACACTAATTATAACCTATTTTGAAGTTTATGGAACCTAATTTTGTGTTTATTTAAGAGTTTAACCTAAAAATCCTATCCTAATTTCATTTTTTGAGGATTTAAATATTAATTAAATGAGAAATTTAAGATACGCGACTATTGTTGGCAATTCCGCAAACCAAAATCACAACTTGATCAAAGTGAGGGGCATGGACATCGAGGTGGTCATAGCGGAGGACGCCATTCAAAAAACAAGGGTGGCCGAAGTGAAGGACATAGTTATGGCTCAGAATATGGAAGTGGTCATGGTGGATATTAAGGAAATTACTGAAGAAGATATTGACTAGAGATGGCATTCAAAGTATTCAAAAAGTGAAAAGCCAGATTTGTGAAAAGCCACATATTTGAAAAGCCAGATTTTTGAATTTTTTCAATTAACATATTTCTATAGTAATTTTTTGAGAGTTCTCTAATTTAGTGAATGAACCCCTTTATACGAGTCCAAGAAATACTAGAATATTATAACTTATCAATCCAATGACGAATTCCGTTATAAGACGGATAAGGGGTGAATGTTTCACAAAGATAATTTCAAAAATAAGCAAAAATTTAAATTAGAAATAGAAATTAAATGAGAAATTTCTGTCTCTAATTTAAATTTTCTGAACAAGTCCATTCATTTAAAAAAACATCCAGTATATTACTGGCAACTTTTAAAGTGTTCAATGAGGCCGATTTAGCGGTCTTGGTAGGAAACACTAAATGTAGTTTTTAGCTTTATTTTCTGATATTTATCATTAAATTGTTTTTATTTTAAACATATGACGATAAATTGAAGAAAATTTGTTTTTTTTAATTTTATTAAAACTAGAAAAATAAAAAATATAAAATCAAAAGAAATTTTTAATTTTATTTAAAACTCACAGATGTTTTTATTTTCTACGAAGTTTGCGATTAATTTATTCGGAAAAAATGTCGAAACATTCCATTGTATTTTAATAAATTACTTTTATTGTAAAGCATAATAATTATAATTTATTAAAATAGCCTTTCCCGAGCTTTTAATGTGTGCAAAAAGCCTTTATTTAATAAAATTGTAATTAAATTGACAAAAACTTGATGTCAAGGAAAGAATTAGCGCTTTTCTGTTTTTATTGTTGTCACTTTAAATGTCTATTATTGACTCTCCAATTCAATAAAATCTGTAAAAATATGAAGAAAATGAAGGAGCAATAGTGCAATTAAGAGGAATACATATAAAAATTATCAAAAGTAAATTTAATTTTAATAAATTAATCTTAATTTTTTCGGTTCTGATCTGTTTGAAGGATTTACCAGTTTCTAATTTTCTGTTTTAGTTTGATCATTTATTGAGCATATAATCCTGAACAATGGATTTTTGGAAAGATATTGTTTAATATATTTAAAGTTACAGTTTTACCTTTATATGAGCTGTCGACAATTCACTCTTATTAGTAGATTCCCTATCTTTATAGAAGTTTTGACGCTGTCCTCTTATTCTCACAATCTATGCTTTTTCGTTTTATGTATTGCCCAAAGGTTGTCCGATGTTACCCAAATTCTAAATCTCAAACATGCTTCTGATTAGATTAAAGGCAATATTTTAAAAATTAAAAGTTTTTAACATAAGTATACTTTTAATTTTTGAAATATTGTTTTGGTCTATGTAGTGTTTGAAGGACAAAATTCGTAAATGTACTCTTACCCAAGTAAAAAAGCTTAAACCAATAATAAAAGTTAAAACAATTTTCTTGAATTTATCGAGTTTAAAATAAAAACAATTTAATGATAAATATCAGAAAATAAAGCTAAAAACTACATTTAGTGTTTCCTACCAAGACCGCTAAATCGGCCTCATTGAACACTTTGAAAGTTGCCAGTAATATACTGGATGTTTTTATATATGTTTGTATATCAAAAGGAAAAATAAATTTAAATTAGAGGTAAATCTTAATTTTCTGTTCAGGGCTTTAACTCATTATTTAACAAAAAAAAGTCCAAATCTACCTCTAATTTAATTACTATTTTCCAGTTGTAAATTTTTTTTGAAAAAAAGATATCAGAGATAAATAAAAGGGAATTTTGGAATATATTTTTAAAAAAGTAATACCAAAAAAGTTCCCAAAAATGCACGTAAGGCTGAAATATGCAAAAACATCATCTCAACTATGTCTTAAAATAATTTGAAAAATATTTTTGAGTTCTCTAAAGCTAGTATTACTAAACAAAATCTGAATTTGCATATATTTCCCGGCCCTAGCAATAAATAAATGATAAATTTACAAAGAATAATCTTTTAAATTTTCTTAATCCAAACTTTTCCTCAATAATTCCCTTGTTTCACAATTAAATTGCAACCTTTTAGAATCTAAAAATATTTCTTTTAATTTTCATATATTTTAAAAAATCCATACAAATTGAACAAGCCCATGACGTTTCTGAATCGGCATTACTCGGTCATACCCAATATATTGGGTATTTTCTTGTAAATATTCCTCTTGATTTAAACTCATTTCATTAACCAATAAAGGGTTAATAATTATTTGTTCAAGTTTTTTCTGAATTTCGTTGTCCAAGCCTTCAAATAATTGATAAAATTTTTGTTGAGTATTTGAATTATATTTTCCGAAAATTGTGTAGCATTCATTGCTTGTCAATACGCCATCAGTTGCTAAAATTTTAAAGATTATTTTTGAATTTACAAAGTTAATTTAAATTAGATAGTGAATAATTTATGGTTTAAATAATTTTATTGTTTAAGTTTTATGGTTTTCATTTTAACTGAATATTGAATAATGTATGCCTTAAATGTACTTTTTTGATTAATTTGTTGGAACTTATATGGTTTAGGTGCGCTTTTTTTAGCCACGCCCTTTTTTCCTTTTCCTTCATCAATCAACATTGATATGGACAGAATGGTCAACCTTTCTTTCTTCCTCAATTTCACTCAACTTTTCCTGACGCCCTTTTTTCTTTTTCCGTCATTATTCTTTTACTTATTTTCCCTCTCAACCATCAATCAATTGAGTTGAGGTCAATTTTTGCTTAAAATATAGAGCTGACTCGGATGACATCGAGCTGGGCTGAGACGAATGGCACTAAAATCGGTCCGTGAGATCTCTGAGCTGAATTACAGGGGTCCAAAAATTTCTAAAAGGGGTAAAAACGGTCAGCATTTTGTAAAAAAATATGATTTCAAACACGCAAAAACTGAAAAACAAAATAAAATACTGGACCATTAGTTCCAAAATGTAGACCCGGGATACTTAGTGACATTTAAATAATAGAAATAGATAAAATTAAG